ACGGTTCGCGCCTCCGCGCTTCGACACGCGCTCTCATTCGCATCTCCGCTTACGCACACAGACAGGATTCACACGCGTTCTCACCTCGGTTCAAAAGTGTATATTTCCCTAAAGTCACACACACGTTGCAACAGTGCAGCAGCTCGTATTAAATCAGCATCCCTATGCCACACCCACAGCCTCAGAAGTTTACATAATACAGTCAATATACGCTATACTCTACGCTAGTGTGTCGCCAGTGTGTGTATAATATATATATATTTATATTTATATATAATATATTCATTTTTTTTATGTCTTCCCGAATATATTTATAATAAGCGCGCGCACGCGCGCGCGACGATTGGTGGGTATCTCAAGTATTACAAAGAAGCAAGTGCAAACGCAATCTCTCTCGCAATGGTAACGGGATTATTCGTTTTTGTTTCCTTTTTCTCCCTCTTCAACCGGCTCTCATGATATCTCTCCGTAATTACGCTAACAGAAATATATACATATTTCTTCTTCTTCTCTCTCTCTCTCCCTCTAATGTCGACTTTTTTTCCCCGGAAGTTGTGAAGAGTCCTCAACGCGTTGCTTGGCGAACGCAAAATCCATTGCGATACAATCATCGACTCATCCTTTAATAATTCGTGAGTCTTCTATAATGATCATCGCGCTATTTAATTCAACAGTCCTTCGCTCAGCGGAAAGGAATATATATATTTCCGTGAACTGCATAAAAAAATTACGAGCGACTCCTTCGCTCTCGTGTCGTCGCCGTGTGACGCTTCTTCGCCATTACTTATTTATAATACTCACATAGACACGCCTGCCTTATTCTTAGCGCAGTGCCTCGCGATGATCGGTATACGTTTGTGGTCGCGCTCCCTCAATACCACCTTAAAATATACACTTACGGTCCTGGTGTCTGTGTGTTCATGCGTGTACGTGTATAATCCGTGTACGTGTGTATAATATATGTATACGCGGTATATATATTAATTTAGAATTGTGCAATGAAGGTATTAGAGCCATTAGTGCGACTACTGCTGCGGATGTGGTTGGACGACGTCGCTCTCTTTCTCTCTTTCTCTCTCTCTCTCTCTCTTTCGCTTCCTTTCTCTCTCTCTTTCTCTCTCTCTCGCTCTCTTTCTTTCTTACGCGCTGATACCTATTATCGATACATCGAGATCGCAGATGCGGATCTGCGGGCGCATTTCTCGCGGATCTTCACGCAGCGGACGCTTCACTTTTCCCGCTCCTCGTCCCGCCGCGATCTTCCACGACGACGAAAGGGCTCCCGGATAAAAATGCGTCGCACCGCCTCGCCTCAAGGTCGGCGGCGGCTTCTCGCAATTCAAGTATGCTTAATCGAAGTGTCGCTCAAGATGTTTCAATTTATCGCGAGGCCTTTGTGAGGCACGACCCCTTTCTCCTTTCCCGGCTATTTAAAGCCCCGCTTCTGCCATCACGCTCGCAGACGACGTGGGTAATTGTAAGAAAAGAACGCTCTCGCGTCCTCGAAGCCGAGACAGGACGATCGTGTCGGCTCTTCGAGCGCTATCGGTTCTTCTTCTCCGTTCGATCCGTTTCCGCTTCCGTCCGATTAGGCGCCGCCTTCCAAAAAAAGATCCACTCGTCGCATACGTGAGTCCTGACTTCTCGAGTGCTGAAAGGAGCACCGAGAGCAAAGAGATCCTTTTTCCTTTCTCGCGGCGCGATATACTTTCGTTTCTCCGCTCGTTGATCCGCCAATCCGCTTGTCATCGATCCGTAAAACCTCTTCGGCTGCAACTCTTCGTATGTACATTCCCGATTCGTAGCTTGCCTCTCGACGTCGGAAACAAATGTACACTTCACTTCCGGTCCTAATTTAAATTTAAAAAAAAATAAATAATAAGCTGCCTGTTGTTCACCGCCTTTTATCTGACTCAGCTGCCGTATTCGTATCCTCGAAATTCTTCTTCCTAATCGTAACATGGACGTGTCTATTTCTGTACACCTCGCTAAAGCGTATTATAACATCCGTCGCTTCCCTTCGCGCGATTCCTCCAACACTTGAATGCACTCGAGTACTTTCATGCTATATCTCGGACTATCAACGATCCCGCAAATTGCTCTATTACTTGTTCTCTTGTAATAATTGCTAGACTCTCGACTTCTCCCTTACTTTAACAAGTTTCAAAACGTTTTCCTTGCACCCAGTCTGCTAACTCTCTCTCTCTCTCG